ACGTTACCTGGTGTGGTCGCGTCAAGAAACGTTACCTCGGTAACGTTAGTTTTTCCAGTGTAACCAGCGTGTGAAATCAAGGGATAGTTAGGAGGGAGAAAAAAGAAAGGGAAGTTCTCGTAAACTCTACTTCAGCAAGGAATTTGTCATAAAACACTTGATCCCTCGAGGAAGTTTTTCAAAGAGAATGCAGCGGTTCTTAAAGATCGTGGTCGTTATTTAAACAGTTTTTAATGTGTCTGATTAAAAATAAGATTTAAATGTTGTTGTTTTTTGTTTATTGTTTTCTTCTGTTTAGGTGTGGCCAAGAGACAAGAGTGATCCCCAGAATGTTACAACTGCGACAGCACTGGGTGAAAGCAAAGAAGGAGAGTGTGAGGCTTGAGGAAGCAGGGGTTTCGAAGGAGGTAAGGAAATAAATGTCATCCACCCCCACTTCATAGTTATACACGTGTTAACCCTTTAACCTTTTTAATCTATTGTCTTATAGGTGCTGGATGCAGCTGTGGCTGCATTTTGTTTGGAGGTCATTGCTCGACATGGAGACCCCTCTCCTCGGTTATGCAATAAAGATCCCCTGACACTTAAGTCAGCCACTTACTTAGCTGAAATTTTCCCAAATTCTAAATTTATCTTTATGGTTCGTGATGGCCGTGCTACTGTGCACTCAATTATTTCGAGAAAGGTAAGGCTCATTATATTCAGTGTACCCCTATTTTCAGTGATTTTTTCTTCGTGATTTACATGATATGAACTGTTTACTTACACTTGCTGCACTTGCCTCAGGTTACCATTACTGGATTTGATCTGACAAGTTACCGCCAGTGCATGGAAAAATGGAACTCGGCTATTCAAACCATGTATGCTCAGTGCCAAGCGGTGTCTCCTCGTTGCCTTATGGTCCCCTATGAACAGCTTGTGCTGAAGCCCAAACCGTGGATGGAGAAAATCTTGCAGTTCCTGGACATACCTTGGAATGCTTCAGTACTGCATCATGAGGAGTTTATCAATAAGCCTGGAGGAGTGTCACTCTCAAAGTAAGGTTTTCTACCACAAACTATTTGTAATTTGAACCTAATTTTTAGTCTATATTCTTTAACCTACTTACTAAATTTGCTTTTAACTCTCTTATTTCTAGAGTTGAGAGATCCTCTGACCAAGTCATCAAGCCTGTGAACCTTGAAGCTCTGACTAAGTGGGTTGGACAAATACCGGATGATGTTGTTCGGGACATGGCTCAGTTAGCCCCTATGTTACAAATCCTAGGATATGACCCAGAGGCCAACCCTCCTGCTTATGGTGAGGCTGATGCAATTGTTGCTGACAATACTAGGCAAATAAAGATGAACCAAAGACAGTGGGAGGAGAGGGCTAGAAATCTTCTCAGCCCACAAGCATTTCAAGACTCCAATGTAGTAGAAGAATCAGGGTCAGAGGTTCCTGCACCAGGAACAAGATAACTAAAATTATGATATTGCTTTATACCTCAAATTCTGTTGTTGTTG